CTCTCTCTCTCTCTCTCTCTCTCTCTCTCTCTCTCTCTGTGTGTGTGTGTGTGTGTGTGTGTGTGTGTGCAGAAGAAGAAGAACAGGAGCTATAGGAGTGGATGGAGTAGAGATTGACTGCTGCCGACGCTAACCTAAGGCGCTTAATGGGAAAGGTGAGGCCATCTGGTGCTACATTAGATACTAAATAGTGAGAACAACCGCATACCCACGACGATGAAAGATTAGACGTGTCACACTTGGAAGCGCTAAGAATTAGAACGAGGGTGCAACATGCGTGTGGCAGACAGTATGATCAGGTCTGAATGACCTGAAAAGAAACATAGTGATGTCCATGACGACTATGCCCACGCCGTGACATCTGAATGTCCATTAGATACTAACAGTAATGTCCATGACGACTATGCCCACGCCGTGACATCTGATTCGTCAGTGACTGCCAAGGGCACTGGGCCGGTGGAGAATTGTCTGGAAAAGAAAAAACAATTAAAAAAAAAGACCAAATAAAACTTTGTAAAAAAAAAAAAAAAAAAAAAAAAAAAAAAACTTTGTAAAAGAGTGTAAAACTAATGAAAGCGCTGCTAAAAAGAAAAAAAGGATAGTGTGAGTGAAACACTTCCTCTGACCCAGGCTGGGTTTGGCACCATGGGCCCAGTTCCGGTCCCGATGCTGGAACACAAACAAGTTGGCTATGGTGCCACAGAAGACCCACAAATCTCAGCTCCAGTCATTCCTCTAGCGTTTTCTGAGGGACAGTCCCTCTGAGTGCCTTCCCAGCCAGATGTACCAAGTTTTCATACGGAAAAAGTGACCAGGTTCAGCGGAACCAACCGGCCCAAGCTCAGTTGGTACACCCATGAATGGTTGATATGTACGGCTGCGATGAAATCCCGATGGAACTAAACGAATGAAATCAGGAACAATAAGAAAAGGGGGGGAAAAAAGAGGTTCGGTGCAGCGGATATCACTCCTCCCGTCCACAATACATAGGAGAGATATCCTTATGAAAAGATTCCCAGAGTCCCAAGTCCCAAGTCCCAAGTCCCAGGTCCCATTCCACTTAAGCTGCAGATGCTTCTGCCCGACAAACAAGTATACACGGCGGTTTTCTGTTCGAAGTCTGGAAGCCAGGTTGGTCTCCGATACTCGAACAGCCGAAGGGGTAGGCATTTGTCATTGGGAGAGACCGCCTGCTTCTGCAGGCGGGTGCGAAAGCCGGGCAGCTTGGTGACCTGAGTCAATGGAGGCGACTGGGAAGGAGAGCGAACGGGGTAGTGGGCAAGCAAATCAACTTTCTTGAAGTTTCTTCTCATTTTAGCCATCCATACATACTCTGCTTTTATTTCCGCAACTCGGGCTGTGTCAGGCCACCTGCCTTGTCTCCACCGGACCGACCAACCGGCCTAGCTCAGTTGGTGCAGAGTGCAGCGTCTGGAGACCAATCATGATGAACTGTTGAAATACAGACCCAAGTTCGAATCCGGATGCAATCAGATGACCAGAGCTCCATTGTCACCAACGGCTTCCCCCCTGAACACAACGCTGTGCTGGACTAGAAACATAGTTTGTATACATTGACAATCAGGGTGCGTTATGTTCGGGGCCGGTGGAACACCGCCGTAACCCTCTCGATCATTTGACGTCGGGCATCGGCATGGAAGTGGATCCGGTATGCCACACACTCTCACTGAGCAATGCGTCGGCCTTCACCCCCGTCAAGCGGAAAGGGGAGAAAAAAAAAACTCTGAAAAAAACATGCAGCCACTATTTCATCCAGCCTTGTCCAAGTGCCAAGGCTGTACAGTTCCCTTAGCAAAGTATCTACTAGACTGGATGTTGCAAATGTATGCAACGTATCAGACAATTTACGGACTGCGTGCAATGTATCGAAACAATTTATGCGACGTACGTTATGTGTCAAACAATTTATGCGAGCAGTTCCTTGCACCTTCATTGGAAGAGCGTCGGCAATAAATCGGCAACGCGCAGAGACTAATGCATACAGCCTTTGATACAGCCTCGATGCATGCATGAATTGCTCGCAACTTTTTGCCAGGAAGCACACCGCCGTGATACTAGAGTCTATCTAAGATTCTAAATGCATTGCATGCATAAATCACTTCCAACTCTGCGAGAGAATGGTTCGAAATGAAATGAATCAGGAATGATCCTTTGTCTGCGCACACAATTGCTTTGGCCGGCCCATGCGATCGCAGTTTAAGATACGTGCAAAGCTCTCGCCGATCTCTTCCTTGGTGGCCTGAAGCACTGGAGGCTCTCCAATGTACATGTCAAAGAATGCACCTGAAGCACACACACACACAAAAAAAAAAAGAGCAATGAGCATGGCATGCCAAAAAAATAGAAATAAAAATAGAGTTCCGTAAGCATGTACAGCGGCACAGGTACGTAAATTTTGGAGGAAAAGACGATATTCCACATGCAGAGTCACACACTTCATGTTGTTTGCAACTTAGCTATAGAGACACAAAGTGTCACACAGTGTCACACACTGTTTCGATTTTTTTTCTTTTTCGATGTTTTTTCTTTTTCTTTTTTAATTTTAAAAATCGACCATTTCTCGATTTCTGCGTGTCATCCTTTGCGCAGGGGCCATGCTCGGCTTCTCTCCATCGTTCTCGAATCTTGATTTTTTGTTTTTTTCTTTTAAAATTTAAAATGACCATTTCACCGATGTCCCTAAGGTCAAGGTGTTTTTCAATTTTGGATCTTCTCATATGGGTGGGAACCAAGTTGTTGTATTGATACAACTTGACACAGTTTACAGCACACACACAGTGACAAACTATAAGATTATAAATCGTGGTTTTTTTTTTTTTTTGGTGGTGGTGTGTGTGTTGGGGGGGCCCGGGGGAAGGGATTCGGAGAAGGGGGGGGGGGACTTAATATTATGAATATGTATATCGTCATGGGTCACAATGTGTGCATAATAGTGCAGATACTTCATATAACCTGATGAACAGGGTTTAGGGTTTAGGCCCAGTACTAAGTTTAGGTTTGGGGAACTTTACTACTTTAGCGACAAACAAACAAAATTAGGGTTATATATTTGAAAAAAGAATGCAAAAAAACAAAACAAAAGAATACAAAGGTAGTAGTATAGACACTATAGACTCTATAGACAGTATCATACTAGAGATGATTCCAGCATGGTAATGCCCACAGTGGCACACATCAGAGGGTATGACAGTGAAATCACTCGATAGGGACAAAGATACAGATAAAGTCTGATAAACCCACCAAGCCCAGTTATGGCTCACAATGAGTAACACAGGCCTGGTGAAAATAGGCAAGGTTCCCTGTGCCTATGTGCCTATAGGCAGGTTGATGTGGCAATAGCCAATAGCCAAGGTTCCCTGTGCTCGAACTTGTACTATGGCCTCATTTGTAAGACCTCCTTCTGTGAGTGATATAGTTCCTGCCCTCTGCCTATAGCCTATAGGCACAGGGAACCTTGGCTATTGGCTATTGCCACATCAACCTGCCTATAGGCACATAGGAACAGGGAACCTTGCCTATTGCCACATCAACCTTGCCACTGTGTCACTCATTATGACCCATAACTGTGTTTAGATGTCCCAAGGCCTGTGTTACTCATTATGAGTCTTTCCAACAGAACAACTGCCCTTCAGGTTGATGTGGCAATAGCCAATAGCCAAGGTTCCCTGTGCCTATAGGCAGAGGGCAGGAACTATATCACTCACAGAAGGAGGTCTTACAATTGAGGTCATACAAGTTCGCCAATTTGAACCGTGCTGAGCCTGGGAAGAGGGCAATAGGCAAGGTTCCCTGTGCCTTTAGGCAGAGGGAAATAGGCCAGGTTCCCTGTGCCTATAGGCAGAGGGGGGCAATAGGCAAGGTTCCCTGTGTCTATAGGCAGAGGGCAATAGGCAAGGTTCCCTGTGCCTATAGGCCAAGTTCGCCAATTTGAACTGTACCCAGCCTGGTGAGCGGGCAAACCCTCCACCCCACATCTCTGCCTGCATTGTGACCAGACCTGGCCATTACACATTACATGGGGGCCATTGTACATACCCCTGAGTCCTGACCACTGGGAGCGGTGGGACAACGGCAACATGGTTCATGCCACGATTAATATCGGTGATTTCTTATTTGACGGTGATGTTTCCTTGCCACTCCAAACCTGGGCATGAACCATGGGTCAGCAAAGGCTTGGAATATGGACCTCTTCGGAACCAGGTACGGCGATTTCTTATTCAACGATGATGTTTCCTTGGCCATGCCAAACCGCCCGCGCACTCTTATATGTCGAGCTCTTAGGTCGAACTTCAAGATCACTTCTCTGCCCGTGTGCCACAGCAGGACAGTGCGTCACAATGATTTGCGACCTTTCTCCTCTGCACAGCTGCATACACTGTTACACTCGCCGGCTGCAGGCGTGACTGCCTCTGCCACGATCACTACCGTGCCAGGGTTTCCACATTCGTGTGTGTGCAGCGGGCTGTCCATCGTGACATCGTCTCCTGACTGCATGCACCCCCTCCGCATCCGGACATCATACGACCCATGGAGTCCTGGACATTATAAATTTGTAATCAGTGCATGGCCTTCTGTGATGCCCATTCTTCCTTCATGCTGGGTGGGTGCAACTGAAATGCCATTCGTTGGGAGTGCTTGTTGGGCACTGGGCATGCTTAGTGTCAGCCGTCGTCCAAGTTGTCGTCCTAAAAAATGCTCAGCTAGGGCTGGCTTCCATGTCATCATCATCCACCTCAGCCTTACAGTGGACGTCCTCTCATTCGTCAAGGACAGACGGCCTCCCGAGTCTTCGCTTATACGTTCACTATGCTTTCATCTTTATTCCGCAATCCTTTCTTTCCTTTGTCTTCCTTCCATCTTTCTGCTCTCTTTATCCTCTCTCCCTTTACTATGCCTCTTTTTCCACACCAAGCAAGCAAGTGGACGCTTAAGGTCCACGGGGAGGAGGCCAGCTCGTGCTTCAACTACATCAATCTGGTGTGGTTTGTACGTAAGAGGCACAATAAGGGCGGAGCTAAAAGGAGAAACAAAGGAGGAACGGAAAAAAAAAAGCCGAAGTAAGGAAAGAAGAGAAAGAACTGCATGTGAAAAGGCAACAGAACGGGCTTCAGTGTGCTTCATGTTGTCCTCCAGTTTGATATCTGACGATCGATTTATCGTCATAGCAGTCCGCAAAAGCCGGGACTGTTGCTTCCGGCGATAATCTGCAGCGGCTGCACGTGAAGGTGAGGGCAGTCGTTAACGCCGTCAATAGTAGACAAGCCCTGCACTTTTTCCAGACAAGCTCTCATTGCTTTTAGAGCACCAGTACATGCCAGCTGTCGGACCCGGGCCCCTTTCGGAGGCCGCTGACCGCCGATTCATTTTATCTACGGCGCGCGGCCTCCTATATTTCCGGAGAGGCTCAAAACGGGGTTCTCCAGTTGCCTGGGGCCATGTACTGGGGGGTTAAGAAATGCCTGTTCCCTTCCCCCCAGGAAGAACTAGTCTTTAGGTTGAGCTACCCACTCTCTCCGACCCCAGGGATGTTACGGACTTCGCCAGGGCTCGATCCCTGGTCTATCTTTTGCTGTTTCGGCTGCATCCCGTTTTCGGCCTGGCACCCTTTTTCCAAACCCCTCCTTTGGTACCGTAGGATTTTGGACAACTGGCGCCATGCTGCAATTCGGGCGCCACTTTCAAATACC